GCAAACTTTGTACTGTAGTTTTTTCACATACTTTTGCATCAGGACTCGGTCTGCGCGGCGCTGCGCTATGAAACCCATTGATTTCAATGGCTTGTGCCACGTGAGGACGTTTTGTTGCTTCGTCGACCAAAGCGCAAGCGGAGACTGGAAACAAAACAACAGGCGACACACACTTGTTTGAGCTTGCGAGCCGGCCAAATAGTAGGTTAACGTTACGTTTTGAGTGGATGACGAGCGCGATATGCCGAAATGGATGCCAATAAGATTCTGAATGAAAAGTTTACTTTTAAAAAGTTGCCAAATGATTCCATTGTCAAGACCAAAGTGATCCCTCGTCAATATCAATATCAATCTCTTACCCTTTTAGTGATGGACAGTGTCACATTATGTGAGAGATTGTTTGCTCCAAGTGAGAATGTTAGTGTGAAATTGAACACAGTATATGGCAATGTTGTTTTCAATAAAAAACTTTTGCACAAAGCAAGCCGATCCACTTTTCCATGTTGATAAGCGCATTAAAATGAGAGAAAAAAATAATACGACAAAAAGAAATAGTGACATTTAGAATAGATAAAAATGTTCGATTAATTGCGATTAATCTCGAGTTAACTATGACATTAATGCGATTAATCGCGATTAAATATTTTAATCGTATTTTAATCAACGATTAATATTTTAATCGTCGACAGCACTAATTTATATATAAGACAATTGTAAATGATACTGCTAAATCTAATCAAAATCTAGTTTAGCAAAAAGCATGCTTGACAAGCAATCTGAAGCAAGAGAAGAACAAGTAAAGTCAAGAAAAAGTTCTACTGTATTCCTAACAAAGACTACTCATTCAAATTCAGAACAAAAACCCAGCGCCTCTTCTGTCTATGCCCCAAACACACAGCTAAGCATACAACTGTTGTGGGGTCATTAATATGAGTGTGGCTATATACTGACAGAACATCATGGTTCAGCAGCCACTGTGTTAAATGAGCACACAAGGGCTTAGAGCCGGACTGACGTGTTCTTCCTCTTTCCCGACCACTTATCTGTAAGATTGTGATGGTTTTTTAATGCTTTTTATTTTATTGCAAACTTCATGTCAGAGACCATCGCAGATCGGTTTAATTCACTGTTGGGAAACTGTTATTTCCGAATCTCAATCTTTTCCCTGTGCGTTTTATTAGAGGAAGTGGTCGTGAGTGACAAGCACGCACATTCGGGAACTGCAGACAGTTCATACTGTACCTGAGTGGCTTCATTAGCCAAGGCATTGTCTCAGTCCCTGCTGGTTTCGCACGGAGAGATCCAGTCTGGAGAATCTGCTCCTGCCCTGTGCTCAGATGATTGGCACATGGAACAGAACAGCCAGTATTTAGTGTGATGGAATCAGCTATGTCAAATCTCTATGCAGGTCAACTTTCAAACATTCTCTCGGAACAAACTTCCTAAGCAGTATTGCATGAGCAAAACAAGTGCTATTTTAAAGCCAAGAATACCCATACTCTTGTCTGATACAAACAGTAGATTCTATTGAAAATCAAACGGAGTTCAGCTGAACAACTGTTGTGCATTTAACACATTGGTCTTTTTCCTGTACTTACATTTCATTTAAGGTTCAAGCATTACCTGGGGATCGAACCCATGATCTTGGCTTTTCCATGTACAAAGCTCTGCTGTTTGAGGTCAGCCAATCAAATCAGAGAATATCTATTATACATGTTAAACACTGATATTTTTCCTCTACATCAAAATATGATTGTAATTTGTATCATGCAGGGAAATGTACAAAATAAATAGAAAATTCTTTATTAGAAAGAAAATAATGTTCTAAATCCATTTTACATTCAAATTATTCTACCAACATAGCCCATTTTTTAGGGATGCACTGATATGAAAATTGACCGATAATTCTTTATATTTGAAAGCCAATAACCGATATATTGGCCGATAAATATAAATCCAATTTTTTTTATATAATTTTTGAGAGCCTGATAACAAAACAAAAGTTTTACCATTTTAAAGCCACCCCAATACACAAAAATGTTATGCAGTTTATAGTTCTATGTACATTTTCCTTTTTGAAGTGATCTCAATGATCAAGCAGAGTATCATGGTGAACAGTACGCAAAAAGGGAAGTGTCTCAGCTGAAGGAAATAATTAATTGCTTATAGGCTTTAATTTTATCAGCCACATTTTTTTTATCGGGCAGGTAATTATAATATTAAAAATGAACATCAGCCGATACCGATATGTGGCCGATATATAGTCTATTCTTACCATTTTTAACAAACAATTTTAACAAATATACCTAAAATCATATTGTTAAAATGGCACTTAGGAGTAATTAGGTCTGCACAGTTTGGAAAAAAAAAGACATGCAATAAACTTGTTGGGTGATGCGATGGCGGTAAACGATGCAATAAACTTCAATCTAAAATTATTTTCTTTCACTAACTTTTTGGACAATGTGTAAACTTTAATACAGTCATTAATTTCAATTATTTGAATTATATTCAGTTATTTCATCACTAACACCGCATACTATTTTACCGCATTCTCCTTGCTTCTGTCCCAGACTATTATGTGGATTCAATGGTCTTAAACAAGCCCAGAGTGTGTGAATTATTCAAACTCGCTTTAATCCACAGATTCTGAGGCCTTAATGATTTTTTTCATGGCTGGTTAAACGCAATTCATCAGAAATTGCCATATACTGCACCGTCAAATGCATCAGAAAAAGAGCCATACCTCGACTTTGTGTATGCGGCATGCAATGTTTACAAAAACATGTGATAATAACCTCACATCCGGAACACACAAGCAGGCATAATGTTTTGACTAAGCACTTCCATATGGCTTGACTTCAGCCTGGTTTTTCTCTGCGAGCTAAAGCCCTGTGGTTTGTAAAGTGTCTGTTCTTGTGACCGCCCCAGTGACCATGATTCCCAGTGAGGTCTTACTCTGTGTCGGTGTGTGTGATCCGATCGGCCGGTATCAGCAGCTCACATCTCACTGAGAAACGCCAACTAGGAAAGCACAAAACAGTCTTTCCAGCTGCCTGGTCAGGTACAAAAACCCCCACCCACGATATTCCAGATAATCTTTTATTCAGCGCCAACGTACCATTAACCCAACCTCTAAATTTATAATGGAAAACCCTGCCAGACAAAACGCAGCAATGGTTGAGCATGTGTTCGGTGGTCTCCTGTGTTCATGGGCCGTATGGCCCATGGGGCCAACTTTACAATTTGAGAATTTGACAAGCACTCAAAACTGCCTGGAAACGCACGGCACGACAGAAAAGGTTGGGAGGTAATAATAATGTCAGGCTTTGACTGACATGGGAGTTTTTTAAAACGCACACACACGACTGAGGCTGTAGGACACGAGGGGATGTGAAGAGTGTGACGTGCTTCTTGCCAGATTGTTACTCTGATAGTGTGTGAGCCAAATAAATTAACACTGTATATTCTACTGGCAAGTCCAAAGTAAAATTATGGAGGTTAATCAAATGTGCGTTGTAAATCCCCAGCCTGCCCTCCAGCTGAGTGCCAATCGACTATGTGTGGAGTTTACAACACAGCAGCGGGACGTCTGATGAATGTTTCATAACACTCCAAGTCTCAATCCTGAAAAACACTGATGTGCATGAAACAAGATTCAGAGAACGCAATTAATTGAGAGGATATGTGGCTGGAAATTGTTTGTATGGTCAAACGTTTGCAGTCAAACCCCACATTTGTATTTAGTAGTGATGCACAAAAAAATGTATCTGCAACTGAAAATGATTGATTTTAAATTAGACTCTGTTTGGAATCAAATATATTAGGCTATATATTTTCCTAAGTAACCACTACATGAATATCTAACATCTAATAAACAAAAACATATAGTGGAAAAAAAGAAATCTGATGTATGCACTGGGAACCAATCAACAAACTCAATTTGCAATTGTGTTTACATTTTGATCACAACATGATTCATTCAAAAACAATGTTATTTTTGGCCAATAATTTTCCAGGGGATGAAATTTTAGTGCATCATTAATTTTGACAAGATACAGTAAGCTTTCAACCTGAAAAAATTGGAGAAATTGCATGACAGCCTGCAAAACCCAAAGTTTCAAAGGGAGGTTATTTATGCAGGATTTATTCTAATTGGTTTGCTAAACTTAATTGTTAAATCAATCAGTGAAGCAATACAAGTGTGCCAACCAACAGTAAACTAAAAAATCTGGTCCAAATTTAACCCAGTAGTCAGAGGGCACGTCTCACTACTGCAGCAGCATCTCTGTCTTTATTATTTGTTCAATTATTTGGTCTTGAATGATAATTGCAAGATACATAAATACGTATTTATTGGAATAAATGTATTAATGCTAAAATTTTATAGAGTTTTTCCAAACTTTGAGTACGTTTCCAATTCCATACTTTTGGAAGGCGCGGTAACATTTTTGAGAGGAGCAAAACAACGCATACTGCAATACGTAGGTAGTACAACAGTGTGATATAATGGGTTGTTGTTGCTATGAGTTATTGATGTAGATTACAAACCTCAGAAAGATGGACAGGCCTTCATGAATTATTCAAGAATTAGTATGCCCACTCACAACCTGTGCTTTTCAGCTTCAAAATAGAAATAGGTCAAGACGGTGATGGGCAAAAGCAGCACAAAATTTCTTTAGAGGGAAGGAAAACACAATGCGTAAACGTAGAGGATCAAGGTTTCATGAAACTAAATTTGTGTTGTGTGACCATGCCATTCCCACCCGACGCAGTCAGAAATGGTTTTGTTTGTCGTCTTGATAGCAGAAATGGACTTAGACGGAGCTCATGAAGTGAGACGGACCAGAAAGAAAATCAAAAGCCTTTTTGATGGAGGTCACCTAACCACCTGTGCAGCTTTGATTGACAGTTCTGACTGCTTACCAATTTACTGTGGAGACGTAAAGCTGTACATGAACGAATCATAGTTTGATGGTCAGAGTCAGAGAGACACTCACCAAACAAATTGCTGGAGTGGCCTTGCTTGGAGACGGGACGCAGCTCGTTGGAGCCCCAGGCGTAGCGCTTGTAATTGTCCCAAGCGAACTGCATCATCTGAGGGGAGAGTGATGGATGAAGAGGTTAGCTTTTGGTTAATTTACTTATTGCAAAGGTAAAACATCACGGAAATCATTTTTGCAAACAACTGAATCACGGTTCAGGAAAGTTAAATGAATATGCCAGTTAAATGAATTAGGCATTGGGCTAATCAAGGATCAATATCATCATTAATTCATTTGATTAAATCGAAAGATGAAATACTTAATAAATCCACTTCAGCACAAGTGCAGGAGCACTTAATTAATGGAGGGAAATCTCAAAGCTGTATCAATATCATAAATAGCAATATAGAACTCATTACACCAAATAAAAAACGAGTATAACAACATTACTTCAGAGAAGGCAAACTAAAAATGGTGTACTTGTAATTGAATCCGCTTAACACACATATTGAAAACATACACACACCAGTTTTAGCACAAATCACTATCTTAGACCACATAAACAAATCAGAATATATCTTCACATGCTCGAAACAATACAACGTCACTGAACGAGACACAACACAAGTAAAATGCCATTTCCTATTTGAGTCATGAAACACATTATTGTGGTAAAAAATTGATTATATTTTTTAATCTTTTAACTTTTGAATTATTTTGAAGCCAACCTAAATTGAACATCACAGGGTTTTTCCATGCACTACAGCAGTGTCTTATAATTATTCATGAGCAACATGACCACATCCTATGAGAAGCTCCTGGCTCATTATTAAACATGATATCTTCCTAATACCAGCGTTTTACACACTCCAGCACTCTAGCTTACCCAGTCGATGCTGACAAAGCTACAGGTTTTCAATCTATGATTGACTACTTTTGGCATTTAATATGGCAGTTTTTATATTTATGGAGATGTGGACTGTGAACGGATCAAACCACTTGGACTTTGCATTTTTAATCACTATTATGCAACATTTATTTATATTCACATTTGTCAATGCAAAATAAAGATGTTAAAGGGTTAGTTCGGTTTTAAGATCGTTTCTGATGAAATAGGACGGTTAAGATTGAAATTTGGACAAATGCTGCTCCGAGAATTTTAGGTTTCTGTGTTATTTCAATCTTAACCGTTCTATTTCATCAGAAATGATCTTAAAACAGGGCTTTAAGTGTAAAATACCAAACTAACCCTTTAACTGTTCTAGGGCTGCAACAATCGATTATTTTGGTAATCGATTAATCTAACGATTATTAGAGTGATTAATCTACTAATTGTCGATTATTTTGCCGGCTAGTCAGTAAGTTTGGAACGATTATTCAGCTTTTTCAATTAGTTCTTACTATAGTATATATAAAAAAATCAGTTCAGCTTATTTAATAGCTGTTTTAATGAACTTTGAGCCAAATAAACAGGTCATTCTCTTTAAGTATTCAGATTTCGGTCCAACAAAAATGCTCTCTAAGCATTGTTTAATAGGCCCACTGCTATAAATATAAAATTACCATCTTTTTTTTACATGACAATTGAGCTGACGGAGACGTTCTCATTACACCTGTTAATTTACAGAGTGAATAAGTAAAAGTAACTGCCATGATATCAGTTCAAGATCAAACGACTATTCGACAACAACGATATTTGTCGAAATATTTTATTGTCGACTAATCGTTTCAGCCCTAAACTGTTCCACACCATTAATTGTGTAATATAAAGGCCGTGTGTCTTCAGCAGACGCTGAAGTTCGTTGCTATGATACATAATATCCGCAGCACAGTTTAATCGTAACTGATTTCGCGGATAATTTGTTTCATACTAAAAATGTATTTTCCATCCATTTTGTTCGGTTAGCTCTGCTGGTTGATGTTGTACAAAAAGAAGGTTGTGACAGTTGGTCAGTGTGGTTTAGTCCCGCCCCTTCTCCACTCTGATTGGACGAGTGGGTAAAAAGTGACAGTGATGAGCGCTGCGTTTTATCCAATGTTGAACATTTTTCAACTCTTAGCGACCAGTAAAAACTCTCGGCCACCAGTTTTTCGGTGCTTCAGTGTGAAAAAAAAAAAAAAAAAAACGCTCAGCACCTTGTTACTCTCATGGCGTTTAAAGAACGCGGCGCTCCCATTGAAAACAATCAAAAACATATGCCAGGCATGTGGAAAAAAACGCTTCGGTGGACACACGGCCAAACTGTGCATTTGTGCCACGTGTTTGAAACTTCCAAAACATTTGTAAGAACCTCTGAATCTTGTAAATTTACTTTTGTTAGATTTCTAAAACTGCACAAGACACTAAGGAAAAGAGAAAACAAAAATTGTGTAAAGATCAATATTTCAACAGCAAAACATTACAAGATGTCATTTCAAAGTTCTTTTCATTCCGTTTGGTCAAATAAACATTTTATTGTATTTTTGTTTACTTAAAGCAATTGTTTCTTTATTAAATACTGCAGCTGCTTTTCCCCCTCTTCCAACTAATGATGTATGCCGTGTTGACGAAACAAAGAAAAGCAGAACTCATTATTCACTGTGACAGGCTGGAGCTGATGATCCCAGAGAAACAGTGATTGGAGAAGGATGAAATGTCCCCAGTAATTTTTTTGTCCATTAAATAATCTACTTCCAGCTCATTCATTCTAAAACTCACAAGAGTGTTTTTAGACCACAGTCTTCGCACTCCCCAGGGGTGCCAGTTAGCAGGGCAAGAGAAACAGACCTGCTGTTCTCCCTGGAGAGCGTCAGACAGCACCAGAGAGATGGGAAAAAAGCTCTTGACACACACACACACACTCACTTTCTGCCTGGATAAAGTCTTTAGCAGTCTTCAAATGAAATCAGATCAGTTTATCAACTGCTGACCTAACTTTTAAGCGTGTCCTAATCATATAACTCTCTTTGCTTTCAAAGATAGCCACTCAACACCAAAGACACCGACTGAAAAAGAAAAGATAAACGAAGTGAAAACTAAAGTCTTTAGCTGGGGACTCCAGGCTGGAGATAAGCAGATAGACAAAGCTGTCCCGCAGGCCTCCCAACTGGCCGTATTTATTCTCCCCAGTGCTTCCTGCAACACCGTTCAGAAGAATTGCTGTAAAAATAATAAATAAATATCAAAAAAATAAATAAAAGCAAAAATAAATATTTTGGTTTGTTATATTAAGAGCTTTGAGTCTGAATTGAAGTGACCATAAAATTGCATCTACAGCATGCGTTGTCCTTTCTAGTTGCATGATGCTGTATGCAAACTTAAAAAAAATATGGATTTTTTTTTTAAACAAAAGTTAAAAATAAGCATTTTACTTTCAAAAAAAGCCCTCAAACAATATTCAGAAATGAACGACGCAAGGGTTGCCAGATTGTCAAATGTAGAGAATACAGCTATTTATCTAGATCTTTTTTGCTAAACAATCGACCTCAGCTTGGAAACAACTAACGTCGTGAGAGAGAGAGAGTCATTCTCCACGAGGATTGGCTGAGGCAGAGGTCAAAATTATCGTACAAATACAATAACTATAGTTTGTCTGCATGGAGACACTGAACAGTGTACATGGAAATACAAAATGTTGTCAGATTCTCCAAAAAAAAAGAGAATCTTATTTTCTGTTTTATGCCATTTATTACTTTAGATGTTATAACTCCTATATAAAATCAAACATGTGGAAAATTCACTGAATCAGAGCGTTTCACTCGCTCAGTCATTGCTATTGGTCAAGTCTTGAACTGTTATGGTGTTTACTGTGTGAGAGACTCGAGCAGCCAAACACAGATTCTGCTTTATCGAAATTGCTTTTTCGAGAAGATTTTAATACCTGCAAATACTAATATGTCCAGAGTAATCCTATCATGGATGTGCCCGCCATCTGTCTGCAGCGCTCTGGCTGACCGATTACCATCTCTCAGACGGCAGCGGGCGCCAGTGACGTCAACGGGCAACAAGGTTATGGCCCACATGTGATTACTGCGGTGTGGCGCTCAAAGGTTCGGGTCACGGAACCTCAGACAACTTTCGGAGGCTGAAGCGCGAAAGGTCTGGCTGTGCGGGGACCGATGCCGAGTGGCTTAAGTCAGATGAGCGGAGAGGACAGGTGTCATATGAACCTGGTGAGGATGCTTGAAACGAGTTCAGCTACATTCTGCCTTGCTCTTCCTCTCACACAGTTCTGAGAGGACTTTTACACAGCCTGGCTGATAATACACCCCACGGACTGGCGAACGGATCAAACAGCTGCCACAAGGTTGACTCGCACTGGGGGCATGTTCTCGTTCCTAGAGGACCATGTCTTTCTGAGAATATGCAAAAGACAAACAGTATGTGTCTAAGAAAATTGTGATTAAAATAGAAATATTGATAAAAAAAAAAATCATGATGGTATTCTTTTGTCGGTATTGCACAGCCCTAATATGTAGAAATGATTAAAACTTTTGAAAAAAAATAAAAAATTTCTTGAGAAATGATTTCTGGAGGTTCTTGAGACTGAAAACTGGCGTAATGGCTATTGAAAATTCAGCAAGGGGATGAATAATACTTCAAAATATAAAATAATAATAATATTGAAATTGTAATAATCTTTTACACAATCGATCTTTCTACTGTGATAAAATAAATAAAGCTTTGGTGAGCAGGAGCAGCATAAAAAAATTAAATAAATAAAACATACTAACCACAAACGTTTAGGCGGGTTTGTGTGTGTGTCTGTGTGTGTGTGTGTGTGTGTAGTGCTGGGGCAACGATTAATCGTGATTAATCGCATCCAAAATAAAAGTTTGTGTTTACATAATACATGTGTGTTTACTGCATATAATCATTTTGTAAAGTTAAATACACAGATGTATATATTTAAGAAATATGTGCATGTATTATATGTATATTTATAAATAATTTATGTTATATATAAATAACAATTTTTTCTTAAATATATACATGCATGTGTGTATATTTATATACATACAAAATAATTATATGCAGTACACACACATGTATTATATAAACACAAACTTTTATTTTGGATGCGATTAATCGCGATTAATCGTTGCCCAGCACTACGTGTGTGTGTGTGTGTG